ATGTTGAAATAAATAAAACTTACACTATCAGGAACATGAGACAATTTTCCTTGCAGACAATACAAAAGTTGATCATTTTTACTTTAATTCATTTTTCCATTTAAATAGATATTTTATATGATTTGACGTCTCATCTTATCTCTCAATAAACAAGAGGAAAAAGAATAACATTTAGCTTGTTCATTTGAACTTGAACTTCAAAAATATTTACATACAAAAAGAAATATTTCGAACAAAAATTGGTTTATTTTTTTATCTAAATCTTATAAGAAAAACCAATCTTTTAAGATAGTCTAATATAAATTTAAAAATCGAAATGGTGGGTGTGGATGTGGATGTGGGGTGTGGGTTTAAACAAAAACTTCAGACACTCACACTCACGCCCTCACACCCAAGAATAAAAAGAAATTCTGAAATTTTCACATGTAGAGAAGAGAAATACTGAAACTTTCACATTGAGTATATATCTGCTTATTCTAGGGAGGAAGAAGAGTAAAAAGAGTCAAAAAGTGGGAATATGAGCCTTCAGTTTACCAATACTCTTAGACTCAGATATGATTAACCATAATACTTTCGGTAAGAAGTATACGCAACGTTTTCATAAAATATATCATCATGAAAAATTTGATATTATTATTTTTTTGTGCTATTTATAAAGGCTCAATAATCGCAGCTAGTCATTTCTTCGAGACTCTACCGAGATGAAGATGTAACAGTTCAATTTGGGCCTTCATTTAGTCACGACCTAATATACAATAACTGAAAAAAAAATGTTACTGCATATTGTTCTTGCTTAAATGAAATAAATGTTTTCTATCCACATTGCAAGACATCCGACCGAATAAAGTGATGAGAGATTGAATGTTCATAATAAGAAGTAGTATTTGCCTACTTACTTGTTTTATCAATGTCGAAAAGAAAAATTAAATGTAATGATTATTCACCGTTACACTTCATTTCTCTTCTCTTCTTTTCTCAACATGATTTATTCATAATGTTGACCTTGACAAACAGTGCTTTTCTTTCTTTTTCCTTGTGTGACTAGTATATAAGCATGTGTTCGTATTAATATTGATACAAGTGGAGTGATGAAGTAGTTCAAATAAATATCATTATCGACAGTAGCAATAGAGTTATTCCTCGGGTTCGTCACACTAAATAAATTGTCATTCGTTCAATAATATCAACATTAAGTAGTAAGTACTGAAAAGGAAAAATTTGTGAGAAGAATTTTCAACAATTAATATTCTTTATCATATACTTGCAAGTTTAGATCAAAAAGGATTAAGTGTTCTTTATTTATCGAAAGTAAACGTAAGTGAATGATAAGAATACAGAGTTTGTCTTTCTTACATTTATATTTATTCATATATTTACGGCGAATCATTGAAAGTAAAGTTCTGATTCGACTAACGAGGGAAGCTTCCCAACTGTTCAATCGCTTTTGAGTCGAAACCATGTGCATCATGTAGGTCCTAATGAGCTATGAATACCCTGAAAAGAGTTCGAGCTGCTAGCTTATTACTGTCGAGATACTACATTTTTACGATTTTGTTAAGCAGAATGCCGTGGTTCCCCTCGGAAGCACTAGCAAAACTGAGTTTTGAATGTCGACTTCAAATTTGGCACAGAAACAGGCCTCAATGAGAGTAGCTTATTGTGAAAGTTTCAGGTTTTTTGGTTGTTCCTATTCTGAAATAAGAACATCGGAACCTGTTGGGGATATATGAGCAGTGTAAAAACACCCTTTTTAGCTGCATCTTAGGATAAGAATGACCAAAAGGCCTGAAACTTCCACAATAAACTACTCTCACTGAGGTCTGTTTCTGTGCAAAGTTTGAAATCAAAACTTAAAATTCAGTTTTTCTGGTTCCCGAGGGAGACCACGGCAATGTGCTTAATTAAAAATACCATAAAAATGTGATATCTCGACAGTAATAAGCTAGCAGCTCGAACTCTTTTCAGGGTATTCATAGCTCATTAGGACCTACATGATGCACATGGTTTCGACTCAAAAGCGATTGAACAGTTGGGGACTTTCCTCGTAAGTGCTATTAATTCAATATTCAATATGAGACGTCAGTCAATAATATGACACTGTTACGTTTTCATCAGACTTAAAATGTTATTGAATCAAATACAATACTTCATTATATGTAATGAATAAAAAGAAAATTTTTTCACAAAAATATATACAAATGTTGAATGTCAACAACAATGTATAAGCTTATCATTTAGAAGCCAGTCTCTATCCTCATGTGATATCGATCAAATAAAATCTATTTATTATTGTTTAAACAATTGTCTAAAAACTATCTGAATAATAGCTCTTTAAAATAAAATTCCTTTCAGTAGAATTATCTATTATCAGACAATCAATGACTTCAATATATTTTTTATAGAAGATTGATAAACTTTCTATGATTATAAAAAAAAGAGCAGGTTAAAGTAGCAGATCATTTATATTTTGAATAATAAAAAGATGTGATGACTTCAAAATAGGATACTCTGGATTATTGCTTCAATACTTGATAAGGTAATAGAAGTTCAAAATAGAAGATTCTTGATTATTGATGCGGTACTTGATATAGATTCAACGGTAGATTACTTTCGAGGTATCTCGAGTTGCTTCGCAGGCTGTTGTTGAGATCTTTGCTCCGCTTCTTGCTTTATCATCGCTTGCTGAATATACATTGGTAGGCCAGGATTGAGACTCAAAGCATACGGCAATAAGGTTTTCTGTATTTCTTCAAAATCAACTATAATTTTGATGAACATTGTGTCGTCACGGACATATGAATTTCCTTCCCATCTAATTATATCCAATGAGAAAAATTTAGGTATTCCACTGGGCTATATTCATATTCGATCGAGGTCGTTGAAAACTATTCGACCTTATGTCTGGTCGAAATGAATCGATAATATGTCGTTGTGCAGGTGTTTGATCGTATAAACAAACGGAGACTTTGTAGTTGAATCATCACCATTTAAATAAAGACGAGCTCTCATTCTATAGCCAGTAGGTGATGAATAGAATGGAGGTGAATATAAATTGATGTTTGCCTTTCAGATTGTGCATCAACTAGAAATTAAGCTTAAACTCTTGCCAGTGCAGTCTCTTTGAAGCAAATATGGGAAACTCATATGTTTTTTTTTTCAGCTTCATTATATTAATGTCAAATAGGTCAAGTAAATCTTGAATATAATCGGAAATCTGCATAAAAATTAAAAAAACTGCACTATCTAGAATACTCAGAAAAGTATTGACACCATTAAAATTTCAAGTAAAATTTTGAAATACTCTCGAATAATCTAAGTCTTATTGTTAATGCCAATCAATATCTTTTTTTTCTTACTAAGAAATTATAGGAAAGAAGTCTGGTGTCTTGGATTGCTTTGGAAACGTATCCACTAATCATAATTTCGGTTGCTAAAGTCTATTGCGAGCACCTTTGCCAGCATTGATATGACCGTCCGAAGCGTTAAAAATCATCGATCAATACTTTCATTGTCATCCATTGATTCGGGTTACTATTTTAGGATTCGGATGTTCGAGCGAAAAACCTTGCGTTACAACTTACACTCACTATTTTCCTTAGTAAAATATGTGAGTTCCACAAAAAATTGGGTGAAGAAGAGTAGTTGCAAGTATAAAGAAATTTAGTCGATCGATAGAATTGATAATTGCTTCCATCAATTCATCAATAGCTTACTCATTCATTGTATTCATGCGTGACAATATACTATGTTGAATGTAACGTTGAATCGTTTGTGTGTTATTCAATAATATTATAGAAAACGAAGAACATCTTTTTCTTTGATTATCTTGTCGATAGCATATTTTGATTTCTATCTTCAAGCATAAAACTAAGTGTTCAACTTACTTATTTTCTCATGAAAGTTTTTTATTTTCCAAACCAATGTTTCACCATATGAAACATATTGCAAATCATTGATTTTTTCTTGAAAGGATGCAAAGTCTTGATTAAGAATGCCTTGATTCTGTTTCACTCCCTGCAAAAATGCATTTGATTCTTCAACAGATTATTTTTATTTCGATGATTCTTCTTTCAATATTGTAAGTGTAATTTGCATTTGGAGTGATTCATTACTTAGACGTTGTTCATTATTGACCAATGCTTCGATGCCACCTGCCAAGATATGCAACATTTCATGAACTTCTTCAAATTGAGCTGTAGCAGGAATACAGGCTCCTGCAGTTGTTGTTCGAGGAAGATCAATATTCATTTGTCTATCATTGAATTGTGATGAAATTTGACGAACAAGTTTAAATATGGCCTGTTGATACTGTTTAATCAAATAATGATTCTCCTTTTTGGCACGAATAAACTTAAGAATACGAATTTTTCGATGTTAAATGCATCTAAAAAATACTCATACTCGTTCATTACTGTCTAGGCCTTTCAATATACATTCAACAATCAATTTTGAACATTCGAAGAGTTTATGTTCATTGAATTTATCAACTGAGTTGAAATGTTCACCACAATATCCACAGTTTAGATTTCAATGAAATTGATCGAGATGTTTCTTTGAAACAAGAAAAGATAGAAGATTTCATTTCATTTGTGAAACCTTGATCAAGCATCATCTACACAGACGTAATATATTTTCTCTTTGATTATGAAAGAGATATTTTTCTTCAATTCGTGATATCTCTGCTTGACATTGCCGATATTTAATTGTC